AACTTTACTGTTTGCTGCTCCCCAACTCTAACCATTCTCAAGTTCTTTTTGGTTTATAAAATGTGCCACACTTTCAAGCTTGTGCCTGTTTTTTCCTGAAACGCACATGTTCTTTGTCCATCTGGCAAGCCCTACTCATCCTCCAAGTCCCAATCTAAGCATAATAACATAATCTGTGAAACTTCCTAAATGCTCCAAGGCAAAATAAGTTGTTTCCTCCTGTGTTTCCAGTGCACTTCATTCAAACTTTATTCACTGTATTAAAAGTAATTGGTTTGAAAGCTTTACCATCCTGCTGGTTCCTTCATTAATGAGTTGTATAAATCTTTGGCATGTGCTCACTTAAAAAAGTAAGTGATGGTTTTTTCTGAGACAGTTTTTTCTACTGGTGTGTGCACTTCTCAAGATGGCAAGGACAGTACCTTATCTATCTCTGTCTTCAGCAACAATGATCATGCCTGCCATATAACAGGGGTTGTTTGTTGAATGATGATGCCCCAAACCCAGGGCAGACAGCCTCTCTCTAACTTAAGATAAATAGATGACTCAGGTCTGTGAGCCAAAAGTATAAAACCAAACAGGCTCAGAACAGGTTAGAACTGTGAAGATCTCTTTGTTCTGAGATAAGAGATTCAGAAAAAACACACTCTACTCCCCAGTGCCAGATGAGATTCACTAGTGTCTATCTGTGTGCTGGGTGTAGTCACCCAGTGATCCAGGGAGATGGTAACCTTAGTGGTAGAAGGCAAGTAATAGAATTTCTTAACATCCTGTCTGTTTATGCAAAGCCAGACAAGTAAACAGAATCATAAAGGTGTCTCAGATAATGTCATGGTTAAGGTGCACTCATATGTTCTCATATTCCATTTGAGTTGAGTTTGATGCAGCACTCTGACCAATGTCATTTCTATCAGCTGAGACTGCCCCAAATCTGCCCACTTTCAAGAGCCTGAGTATAGAGAATGCTGCTCAGAAAAGTTCATTTGGCAGGAGGCAGAGTAAACACAGGCTCTGCTCATTAAAGATCAGGCGCAAGTATACAAAACCAAGTTCTTTTTTTTTTTTTTTTTGAGACAAAGTCTTGCTCTGTCACCCAGGCTGAAGTGCAATGGCACAATCTCGGCTTACTGCAACCTCCACCTCCCAGGTTCAAGAGATTCTCTTGCCTCAGCTTCCCGAGTAGCTGCGATTACAGATATGCGTCACCACACCTGGCTAATTGTTGTATTTTTAATAGAGATCAGGTTTCACCATGTTAGCCAGGCTGGTCTAAAACTCCCGACCTCAGGTGATTCGCCCGCCTTGGCCTCCCCAGGTGTTGGGATTACAGGCGTGAGCCACCGCGTCTGGCAAAACCAGGTTCTTTTGGAACTTATTTATCACATCTTGGCTGCTCTGCTTCTAGTAGGAAAAAAATATTGCTACTGATAAATAATTATTCTCTGTCATTTTCATGGAAGTGAGTAAACCCAGAAACACAGAAAAGGGGGGGGGGGAACAAGTGAACAGCTTCTTGGAAGTTTAAATGAACTGTATTCCGTGGCCACATCAAGCTCTACTCTGATTTATAGCAATCAAGCCTCAAAAAAAAAAAAAAGACAACAATAATTCCAATCCACATGGCTCTTGTATAAAGGCATCTATTTGGCTTTTAATACAAAAGGACTTAGAGAAATACAGAAAGAAAATATCATAAAAGCCAGTCTCACAAAAAAAAAAAAAAAAAAAAAAAAATCCCAACCAACGAATTTGTCACATTGGGCCTGCATTAGAAAACAGGAAAAAAGAAAAAGAAAAAAAATAAAACAGTCCCTGAAATCTGGCAGGTGGTTTTTAGAGGCCACGGGGAGCTTGGGGAGCTTGCCTTAGTCATCCTGGTGAAATCGGACAGAAGTGGTTTTTGGAATATGGCCACCGCCTCCTGTTTCTTGCTAGCAATGGTCATCTGAAGGGAGGGTGCTAGCCTGGGCATCCAACATTTGATGTCAGTTATGCAGTCTGAGGTCTCAAAGACAAGCGGCCTTGGAGTCTTCCATTCCATATCTTCACTGAATCTCTCCCATATACAGTCTCTTGTCACTCGATGCTGAGATAACTGAGGTAAAAAGAACAGAGAAGATACCTAGAAATAATGAAGGCTCAAGGAGACTTGGTGCCCAATTTTGGTATAAAAGAGCAGTTGGACTTAGCTTAAATTCCCCTCCTAAACACCATTCACAGGAAATTGTAGCCTGGCTTTTCAATCCAAATCCTCTAATATCATGAGGATGACTGTACTATGGGAAATACATTATCAGACACTAAATACTGATGTCTCTTGTCAGTCAAACCCCAAGAAAAAGACTTTCCCAATCATTGTAGAAAAGAGGAATCTATGGCTGTGCCAGTCATTTTGTAAATGTGCTTCTGCTTGTTATACTTAGTCCTGGAGAAAGTTACAGTTTCTCCTTTAATTCAAGGCTTAAATTATTTGGTTTAGCCAGCCACAAAATTTTAAGCTGAAATGTATATCCAAATTTTTTTTTTTTTTTTTTTTTTTTTGAGACAGAGTCTCGCTCTGTCGCCCAGGCTGGAGTGCAGTGGCACGATCTTGGCTCACTGCAAGTGCCGCCTCCCGGTTTCATGCCATTCTCCTGCCTCAGCCTCCCAAGTAGCTGGGACTACAGGCGCCCGCCACCTCGCCCAGCTAGTTTTTTGTATTTTTTAGTAGAGACGGGGTTTCACCGTGTTAACCAGGATGGTCTCGATCTCCTGACCTCGTGATCCACCCGTCTCGGCCTCCCAAAGTGCTGGGATTACAGGCTTGAGCCACTGTGCCCGGCCTATATCCAAATATTAAGAAGAATCATTCTTGGTTGGGCGTGGTGGCTCACACCTGTAATCCCAGCACTTTGGGAGGCCGAGGTGGGTGGATCACCTGAGGTCAGGAGTTTGAGACCAGCCTGGCCAACATGGTGAAACCTCGTCTCTACTAAAAATACAAAAATTAGGCAGGTGTGATGGTGGGTGCCTGTAATCCCAGCTACTTGGGAGGCTGAGGCAGGAGAACTGCTTGAACCCAGGAGGCAGAGGTTGCGGTGAGCTGAGATTGCACCATTGCTCCAACCTGGGCGAAACAGTGAGACTCTGTCTCAAAAAAAAAAAAAAAAACCACACAAAAAAACAAAAAAAACCACACAAAACACCAAAGGCTGTTTGCGTGGAAATTCGCATAAAACAGATACCCACTTTTGCCTCTGTATTCCCAGGATCCCTACGGGGAGATTTCCAGTTTCCCTTTCCCCCTTGTTGGGAAAGACTTACTGATGGGCTCGTCAGGGTGGAAAGCAACTTCATTGATGGAGCCAGCATGGCCGGGCAGCTTATATAATATTCTCCTGCTTGTGGTATCCCACACATACACAAACCTGTAAGGTATCATGAAAAGCAAGGGTAAGGCCTCCTAGAGCTGGGGGTAAGGCAGAGGCATGGCTTTTTAAAGGAAATGGAAGCAACAATTATTTACTTACCTTACATTTACTGAATCGTGTTCTGGCTTTTAGAAACTAGGAATACAGAGTTTGAATAAGACATGAACTCAGCTCTTGAGCAATGGGGTGGAGAAATAAGAATAACTAAAAATATAAGCATTACTGGCATGTTTGAATACAAGCTTCTGAAATGGGAAACACCACAGGGAAGAAAAGAAAGGTTTTCCTGCAGGCATCACACAAAAACCTTTTTCAGAGTGTCTAGTATAATTAGGCTACAGTTAACTTCATACTCATCCAGGAAGTCTAAAAGGTAACACAACTCATGGCAGGGTGGGAGCCTAGGCTGCAGGTCCGGGTGAACTTTTTCGTACTGTATTCAAACAGAGCCCCGAGAAAGGACAGGAAGTGTCTGGTATATAAAATATTTATACTATTTGCTAACCTAATACTCACTTGAGTCAAATTTTCCACTGAATTATCAGGCAGAAGGAATACTGAATTCTAGAATGGGAAGGGGCCAACAGAAGTCAGCTTGTCTAGGTTGGGTATGGTGGCTCATGCCTATAATCCCAGCACTTTGGGAGGCTGAGGTGGGTGGATTGTCTGAGGTCAGAAGTTTGAGACCAGCCTGGCCAACAAGGTGAAACCCAGTCTCTACTAAAAATACAAAAAATTAGCCAGGTGTGGTAGCGTGTGCCTGTAATCCCAACTACTCGGGAGGCTGAAGTAGGAGAATTGCTTGAACCTGGGAGGCAGAGGTTGTAGTGAGCCAAGACCATGGCACTGTCCTCTAGCCTGGGTGACGGAGTAAGACTCCGTCTCCAGAAAAAAAAAAAAAAAGGAGAAAAAAGGTATCAGCTTTTCTAAACTCCCTATTTTAGAGATAAGAAAACTGGGGCACAGTGACGTTTCCAAGGCAATACAGTTCATCAATGGCAAAACTAAAATTAGAACTCTTAAAAAAAAAAAAAAAAGCTTATTAGAGAATGTTCTTAGGAAGACAAAATTTTTATTTGTCATTAAAAAAAATTATGAGGCTGGGTATGGTGGCTCATGTCTGTAATCCTAGCACTTTGGGGGGCCAAGGCTGATAGACTGCTTGAGCTCAGGCGCTTGAGACCAGCTTAGACAACATGGTAAAACCCCGTCTCTACAAAAAAATTAGCCAGGTGTGGTGGTGCATGTCTGTGGTCCCTGCTACTCGGGAGGCCAAGGTGGGAGGACTGATTGAGTCCAGCAGGTAGAGGCTGCAGTGAGCTGAGATGGCACTACTGCACTCCAGCCTGGGTGACAGAGTGAGATCCTGTCTCATGTTTTTTTCATGCTGTATAATAAAGGTAATATAAGAGGCTATAGAGTTTTAAACTTCTTTCTACTGAAATACTCTGAATACTACTGAAAACTACCGAAATACCAAAATAACACAATGTAATTTCTGCAATGCTAGAATAAAAAAATGTTTACATTTCTCTTCAAAAGTGATGAATAGTAACAGAAGATGTCATAAAAACGTGATTTTTTTCCTATTCATTCGGTAGTATTATAGCCAGTATTTTTATCATCACAGGCCATAATTTTCACTTTATCCACTTTAATAAGTTCTATCACCTTTTGTAATTCAATATCATTGAATATAAAAGTCTACATATTATCACAGAATCTTTTTGTTTTTCTAAATTAATTTTTTTTTTTTTTTTGTAGAGACAGTGTCTTCCTATGTTGTCGAGGCTGGTCTTGAACTCCTCGCCTCAAGCGATCCTCCCGCCTTCACCTCCCAAAGTGCTGGGATGACAGGCATGAGCCACCATGCATGGCATATGGCAGAATCTGTATGTATTTAGAGAGCCACTGAAATCAACTCTGTTCCTAACCCTCTGAGCCAAAATGATGCGTTTATAGCCTTATCAAACTGAATTAAAACTTGAAGGGCAAGTTGAGTGAACTGCTGAGATTGTATGAGCTCATCTAGGCTCTCCTGAAGACTGTTTCCCAAAGTAGTACTTCTGTATAACTGATATGACATGGCTTAGGAAGAAGAAATAGTTTTTCTTATTAAGCTTGCCTTGATGTCTTGTGCTGAAGGCTTCCTGCCATGGAGCAGACAGAAGTGACCAGGAGCCCAGCAGGGGGTTCCTATATTCCTGACCACCTCTTCAGCAGCCACAGAAACTACAGAGCTGAACCCAAGACTCTGGAGCTCTTAATATACTCCCATATTTTACTTTCACTTAAACATCCATAAATATACTGGCTAAAAATAAAGGGTCTATTATCTTAATCTGATGAAGTAAAATTCATCTGTTGGTAAATATAAAGGGCTGGTGGTTTTGAAGCAGGTATTTAAAATTATTTACATATTTTGTTTTGTGCAATCAACAACTCACCAGTACTTGATCATAAAAATGGTACATTCACCAGTACTGGATTATAAAATGCCTAGTTCTAATCCAACATTACACTTTTGGTCTAAAATGCAAATAAACAAGAGCTTCTTAATTATACTATTTAGCTGTCATCAGCTAGGCTCCATAGAAACTAAGCTCTGAGCAAGATGGAGGAGAAGCAGGAACTCCATCAGTCTAGACTCCTTGGATCTGATACTCATACCCTTCCTACTGTCTTCTTTCCTGTCGCGCACAAAAAGGTGGTCCTCATTAATTCAATTATTGGCAGTGTGGCACAGTAAAAGAGTATGAGCTCTGGAGTCAGAAAGACTGGGGTTCAAGTCTCAGTGCAGCTATTTACTAGCTAAGTAAGCTTAGCTCAGAGAAGTTAAATAATTGCAGATCATTTAACTTCTCTAAGCTTCTTAGTTACAATGATGGAGAAAATATTGATCTCATAATTTTGTTGAGAAAAATAATGAGGTAATACACGCAAAGTGCCTGGCACACAGAACTAATTATAGCTATTGTTATTACAAGTATACTCATCATCAAAATAGAATCTCATGAAGTCAATGGGCTGAATAAATCACTCTTGGCCAAGAGACTGGTCAGCCTTCCTGTAGTCTACAGGACTATATATAGTTTCAAGTTTGAATAAGAGGAGGTGATCTGTAAATTATTAGTTAGTAGAAAGGAGAGATTTGCCAAATTCAGGCCAAGCTGAAAAGCAGTTTTCTGAGGATACATTTCCCAGGCACACAAAAGACAGAATCTCAGATCTCCAAGGGTTTACACTTCAAGGCCTCACTCTTGATGGCTGCCAATTAGATGCTAAATTTGGAGGAGTTCCTTGCCCTCTCCTTACTCTGGCATGGCAACATTTGGCAGGAACTAGGAACCTTATGTAACAGAGCTGCTTGTTGACTTGGGGCTAATTGGTGAGGTGGCCTGTCAAATCTGGCCAACACCCAGCAGGTAGAAAGGGTAGGCTTTCCTCAGACCACACTTCCACATGTGAAGTTTTTTTTTTTTTTTTTTTTTAAAAGAGATGGTGTCTTGCTCTGTTGCCCAGGCTGGAGAGCAGTGGTATGATTGCAGCTCACTATATCCTCAAACTACTGGGCTCAAGGGATCCTTCTGCCTCAGCCTACTAAGTAGCTGGGACTACAGGTGCACACTACTATGCCTGGCTAATTTTTAAGATTTTTTTTTATAGAGACAGGATCCTGCCATCTTGCCCAGGCTCGTCTTGAACTCTTGGGTTCAAGCCATTCTTCCACCTTGGCCTCTCAGAGTGTTGGGATTAAAGGTGTGCATCATCGACCACATGTAAAGTTTAAAAGTACAGTGGAGAGGGAAAGAGGAAAAAGAGGATACTGCAATTCAGAAAGGGCCAATGCCAGAAATAAATTGCTCATCAGAGAAAAAAAAGTATGTATATATAATTTAAAAATTTAATTACAGCCGGGCGTGGTGGTTCACACCTATAATCCCAGCACTTTGGGAGGCCGAGGCGGGCGGATCACGAGGTCAGGAGATCGAGATCATCCTGGTTAACCCAGTGAAACCCCGTCTCTACTAAAAATACAAAAAATTAGCTGGGCGTGGTGGCGGGTGCCTGTAGTCCCAGCTACTCGGAAGGATGAGGCAGGAGAATGGCGTGAACCCGGGAGGCAGAGCTTGCAGTGAGTGGAGATTGCACCACTGTACTCCAGCCTGGGCGACAGAACGAGACTATGTCTCAAAAACAAACAAGAAAATTTAATTACAAAAGAAAGATACACTCTTTCTGCTGAAAATTATGTAAAAATATTAGGATAGTTCTTACTATATCAGAATATGAGACACCTTAGTCTGTTTCTTAAAGTCTTCTCTAGTAACTTGACAACTTAAAATTCTTTAGCTTTCCCCCTCTAGGCAGCTCTCTAAACCACTTGCACTCAAATAATCAATGTGATACTTTCACCTGGACTCTTTCTTTTTCCTCTAGAAAATACCTGAATACTTGTCCATTTTTCTTGGCATTAAACTTGTCAAGAGAAAAAAAAAAAAGCAGACTCTGGAATTTAAATATGTGCAGTATGATTCATTAATAGAAAGGTATGGGACAGACCACAGTGCAGCTTCTGTGTGGCAGTGTTAGGGCCCCAAATAGGGGAAAATCCTAGAATATGCTGAAAGCCCTGGCTAGCCCAAGAAAGGCTTCCTATTTATAGGATGGTGCTTGTTTCAGTAGGGTTGGAAGAGAAACTCTAAAGGGGAGGATAGGATTAAGCTAAAAAGGGTCAAGACACTGCCCAATGGGAGCTAAACAAAGGATTTGCTGTCAGAGGGTCTTATCATTCTTTACCAGGCCTCATTTGCAGCCCATCAGACTTGACACCCGGACATCCCTATTCAACCTCTGATTCTCCCCCAAACACGGGTTACCACAGACATGCCAAATACAACAGCATCTAACAGAAAAATTCTCTCCCTTCTGTTTCTCATTCAGCACATAATGCCTGAGCCAGTTTAGATTCATATTTCATAAAGCCTTAGCTGATTAATTCAGCATGGGGTGGAAAATACCTAGTCCGCATTTTGTTACACCCTGCATCTAGCAATCATTGCACTTCCCACTAACCCAGACACCGCTCTGAATCATCTCCAACACAGACAGGCATTACCAATAGCTGAGCTGCTATGCAGGGTAAAACTGGACTGCCATTCTTCAGCTAGGAATTCATTCATGTAATATAAACGAATTGCTTAAGCACTGACAAAAAAAAGCTCAAGCACTGACAACAGTGCCATGGGTTCACAGAAATGACTAAGATTCATTCCCTAATCTCTATGAGAAAGTAACTCAGTGGGGGTACCTCACTTTGTCTGTCTGATTGTAAGATGTAATAAATGCTAATAAAGGTTAGATGTATGAAATGGGATTACAGCACAAAGAACAATTAGTTATGTCCAAGAGGTAATAGAGAGAGGGCGCCAGGGACAGTTTACGGATGTAACATAGAGGTGGTTCCTAGAGAGATATAGGAGTTTGGATAATGAAGAGGGAATGTGAGAGAGAACCTGGAGGCGAGAACACAAAAGGACGTTAGAATATGAAAATTCCATGTGAGCAGCACTGTGATGGTGGGCGAGGTGGGTACTTAATATGTATTCAAATGAACTGAAGCATGGAAGAAGGAGGTGGTGAGGGAGACCAGAGACAGATTATGAGACTGAAATTTATTTTGATGGCAAAGAGAACCCAACAGAATCAAACAAATTGTTGATCCTGTAGGTCTAAAATGTCTCCAAAGTGGGCAGAAATTATGTTTGTCCAACACAGTTTTGAAACCCTTCATACTGCACAGAGTTTCATCTTCAAGTACAGTCATAACTCTATGTCTGCTCTAGCTCCATATCCACGCTTTATGTATCAAACACAAGAAGACATCCTGCATAGCTACATCATTCTTTTTTTTTTGGAGATGGAGTCTCGCTCTTGCTGCCCGGGCTGGAGTAGTGCAATGGCGCGATCTCGGCTCACCACAACCTCTGCCTCCCGGGTTCAAGTGATTCTCCTGCCTGAGCCTCTCAAGTAGCTGGGATTACAGGCATGTGCCACCACGCCCAGGTAATTTTGTATTTTTAGTAGAGATGGGGTTTCTCCATGTTAGTCAGGCTGGTCTCGAACTCCTAACCTCAGGAGATCCGCCCGCCTCGGCCTCCCAAAGTGCTGGAATTGCAGGCGCAAGCCACCACATCTGGCCAGCTACATCATTCATTCTTTACTTTGCACCCAGTAATCCTTACCTGTCGGCTGAGCCAGCTGCTATTTTGCTTCCATCAGGTGACCAAGAACATCTCAGAAGGTTCTATGATAAATAAGAATCCACTGAATAGTAATATATCAAACTCCTCTTTGCAAGGCTGCAGAATCACTAAGAGGCTTTACATTTCCTAAGCAGAGTTTTAATTATTCTTCTCAGGAAGATGGTCAGTAATTATCTTATATTCTATGCCCAAAATAGCATATTTTGTTATTTTACACCATATAAAAACTGTAGAAAATGCTTAACTTACAGTTAATTAGATTGAACCTGACAACAAAATTTTGTTCTACTTATAAATGGAGGTTCCCTTTGCTCCATTTATCTTGATACTCATTATTCTTTTTTTTTTTCCCCTAACTATCTTTAAGAAAAATACACACAAACCCAACAAATAATAAATTTTGGGTTTTTTTTTTTTTTTTTTTTTTTTGAGACAGGGTCTTGCTCTGTTGTCCAAGCTGGAGTACAGTGGCACAATCATAGCTCACTGTAGTTTTGACCTCCTAGGCCCAAGTGATCCTCCCATTTCAGCCTCCCAAGCAGCTGAGACTGCAGGCACATGCCACCACAACCAGATTTTTTATGTTTTGTAGAGACAGGGTCTCACTATGTCGCCCTGATTGGTCTCTAACTCCTGACCTCCCACCTTGACTTCACAAAGTGCTGGGATTACAGCTGTGAGCCACCGTGCCAGGTCTAAAAAATAAAATTTGATTTATACAGTGAAACTGAATCTCAATGAGCTCTAAAAAAAAAAAAAAAATTAATTTCTATTAACAAATTCTCTCAGGGGAAAAGCTTCTTTCAATAGAGCTGACCTTGAAATTTGAGGGTTTGAAAAAAATTTTCTCTCTCAGAACTTGGGCCGTGGTAGTTACTGAGGGGAGAGATATATTCTTAGGATTCTAAAACACGTGGTCACAGGATGGGGAGGCAGGTAGGGAGACCATCCGGGTAACAGCTATGGGAGCTTGGGTTCCATATGGAAAACTGATTTAGGAGGGTAAAATTTACAAGTAATTAAAAGGCCAGGAGTGTCCTGTTGAGAGTGGTGTC